ATGTAATTTAAAGATCTCCAATGTTCTTCGTAAATTCATATTTAATAACCAATGATATACGTTTCTATTGGCGCGCTGACTTCGTTTTATATAAAATCGAAGTTCCACCTCGCGGAGAAATGCATCGGTGTTGTTGGTACGGTAACCTCGTTTACATCGTCGAATTATTGCCAAGCTGGCGCACGATATCGCGGGCGTCAATTACACGACTACATCGATGAAATTAATGATTTCGCTCGTGTTATACCTGCCCAGAGTGTCCCTACACAACCGGTCTATGTATATCCAAAAAGCGTAAACCAATATGTGCGTTGCGCCAAGAGCGCGGTCCGCGATATTTCATATTACTTTACAATCAAGAACGCTTCCAGCATAATCGCAAATACGAACGCCGCAAACTCAACGAAAAATGATGCAGTGTATTTTAATGCAACAATGCGCAAAATTTAATTAAATTACATTAATTAATTACTAATAAATTCTTTATATTATAAATGATAATTCATACTATATAACTTTAACAGACGATTAATTAATTCAATCATGTTTCAAAGTTTTGGTATAACAACATATCGTTATAAATAAAGAAATTAAGACCATTGTAAAAGTAATTGTTATTAATTATCGAATAACACCACGTTGAAAAAGAATTTCAGGAACAAATTCAAAAAAAAATTGCGATATTTTTTCGGATTATGACGTGAAAAAAGATGTGTCACGGAAAGACTACGTGCAAAGTCCATTTCTTTCGTCGGACGAATGAATTCAGGCATGCGTTTGAAAAATGAAACAATCAATATGATGGAGAACGGTTTGCAATAGATGCGAGAAATAGTCCTTCTGGAATCGCCACGATTCTCCTCCCGAATTATCATCGAGATTTGGTAAAATTCGGTTTCGGTGTGACGTGTGTGCAGCAGAAGAAGAATGGTATCGCCGAAACGACTGGCAGCATCGATGCCAATGGCGGCAGTTGCATCGTCGTTTGACCGTATAAAGCCGAAATCGAAGAATGCGCCGCTCCATCAGCAGTAAACTTTCGCGGACTTTCTTCAGCGCGAAGTGCTCGAGGGCTCGTGTCCGTACAGGGTGTCTCAGATTTCCCGTATTTCGCTCCATTCATGAATTTTTCAACGATTTGGAATAGAGTTTCTTTTAAGAAAAATCTGGTATTCCTTTATTCAAGTTTTAATTATATTTCAGTATCAATTATCTCGGTAATTAAACTTTAAATTAAAATTTCTTTTAAATAAAATTTTCGCTTGAAAGTAGATGAAAAATAAAATTCTATTATAAATTGTTATCTAATTGCGCATAACTATGGCGTCAAAAATTTATGGCAATTCGTAAATTTTTTATTATTTTGCGTCTCAAAAAGTATTAATAATTTGCACACCCAGTACAACGCGCATTTATGAACGTATAGAGCCGCGTGTATCTAGCCGAAGCGGAAGTCAGCTGCCATTATCGAGCGAAAGCGCGACCGAGAACGGCAGAAGGCGCAAAGAAAAGGCGAGATGACGCGCGGAGTATCGCATCATGAGGATGAACGGAGGGGAAAAGAGGGCAACGCGGAGGGCCCGATATTGGTAATCGATTTTCATGAAATTGTCCGGCGGGGTTCATGTGTCCGGGTCGGCGCGTTAACACCGACGCTTCATTACGCTCACGAACGTTCATACGTTATACCAACCGCCTAATTTATCGCTACGGCTCGCGCTCTCGTGGTTCTCCTCTTGTCGCCGGCGACGAACCGCCCTAGGCCGCGGTTCGTGTGAAAATCAGCCGCTAAACGAGGGAATTTCTCCGTCGCCGACGGCGCGCTTCCGTGCGCGGCTCGCACTACTTTTATTTTCTTCGTCACTGATAATAGATGCACCACGGTCGCCGTCGTGTGAGAAATTCGGTGGGAAAAATATTTTGCCGCGTGCGCTTGCAAATGGGCAAAAAAAGGGGGGACACAAATAATCCAGGGAGAGTTAAATTATTTCCGACTCGCGCGGACCGACCCAGTTTCACGCTTGACATTTCGCTAAAATAGCTAAGCGGTACACGTAGAAAAGGGAATAACATTTGTACGCGTGGGGATGTAATAGATTATAACGCTGAATGCAAATGATCGCAATATAAGCGCTAAATGCATTTTTATAAATTATTTTGGGTTTTATTAAACTAATATAAAGCATGAATATATATGAATATCGTGAAAAGATAACACGTCCATGTTTAGCGCCGATTGTAGAATTAAAAGATACGAGTGGATAAATTTATAAATATTTTAAATTATATTTACAAAACATGTACCATTTCTCTCACAATGTTTGCCCATCATCGCTATTATGCGATTCTCATTTTAAATCAATTTTTTTATTGGCCTCGATCAACAAAGTTTGTATTGTACATTGACTATTGTATTGTAATTTGAATTTTTTTTTTCCCCAACTATTTCAAACTCTTTAATTCGTACATGCCTAGGCGCTAGATTCAAAACCGTTCTAATGGGAATTTGTAACGCCGCTCATCCCACGGGCACGCGTATGATTCGGAAGTTGCGAATACGTTTGAACAGCCAAGAGAGACGAAGGGGATGCGCGCGAAAATATAATAAAAAAACGAAATATAAAATGGCAAACACACCGGAACAAAACAATGCTAGCGCGGCCACGGAGCACCGTAAATTTCGTCGTGGTCTATATTCGGCGCGCGGGGTACAATCGAACGGTCGACATAATAACACTTGGACGCCGGCCGTAAATTTCAGCTGGCCGGCGGGGGATAGCTATACCGCGGGTTCAACCGCTATTGGTATTCTCTTCGGGTGCCACCCACCGCCCGTCGAGTACCGGAGGCCCGTCTCTTCGTCCATACACGTATCTATCACGTCGGAAACGACCGCTCTCCTCTCTCCGATCCTTTCTCAGCTCGGCTCGCGCGCACGGCCGCTCTTTCGCGCGCCCTCCCCTTCCGCGTTAATCGAGCATAAGTGCACGCCTAATCGCCTTAACGTCCGAATAATTTCGATCACGGAAACAGAATTTCCGCCCCGCAAGCCGTCTCTGCGAGATTGGGCCGTTGAATTAACGACGATCGACTATTTAAGGTGCTAAAATAACACACGGGAAAAACGCGTTCTCGCGAAAGACGAAATTTCATTGCTTCGTATTTCACTGTTAAAGCGCTTTCCCGGAAGTGGTGTAAAATATTTAAAGCCGTGATAGTAAGACTTTATGCATATTAGCCATTGTTAGAGAGAATGGACTTCTCTTAATTATTAGACGTAAGGTTTTTAAGTAAAGTTTTATAAATACAGCTTTCAACGCGCGAAATAAATCACCTTCTCGATATGATACCGCTGCGAAATGCCGTTCGTTTCTCAATAAACACAGTAACTATGTTTTTTTCCGGATGGTCGCCACAAATTTACGAGAAAATAGCAAAGTTTCGCAAACGACGCGGCGTGATCCACGACGGCGCGCCGTCGGTTATCCTGGCGTGGGTCACGGCTCGGAGACTCCCGGTGCAAGAAATTCGATCTCATCTGGCCATGTGCACCGCGACGCACCATCGATTCCATCGATCGCGCGACGATCGCGCCGCGGCTGGTTGGCCAATGGATACTAAAAGCACGACCGCGGGAGTGAGATCCCTCGGAGAAGTCATTGGCAGGCTGAATCGTCTTCGGCTCTCGAAGACTTTGGACTCGCTCCGTTAGATAATGCGGCCGCCGTCGTATCGGCCAGACTACCGCCAAGTTCTTGTTCCTTCCGTATATACTCCGGCGCCGGCGAAATTCCCAAAATTACCGGCATTATTGCGGACAAAGGCCGGAAATCCCGAGTTCCGATCTCGAAGCGCGTAAGGACCATCGCCCGCACCGAGCGCACTGGCGTCTTTATTAATTGTATTAATTGGTCCAGTAAGCCGCGATAAAAAGCGCTCTGATACGACAAAATGCCGTTATTGCGCTAAACGGATATTTGATTATTCTTTTCTTCACATATTCAATATATTATAATATATTAATTCAAATTATCAATAAATAATTAACTTGTAAAATATTGCGTACGCTTTCGGCAGAATAATCACGAGGAAAATTTTTCTATCGAGAAATTATAAGAATTCTCGTTGCACGCTTTTAGCTGCAAGACGTTAAAGATAATCCCGCAGAAATGATTTACCGACGCGTTTGGCAAATGGCACGGTCTTGTACTGCGCCGTGACCTGAACTCACCTCGATCTTTCAACCTTTTCCAAATATATCGCTCCCGAATAAGATCATTGCCGGTCGAGAGCACCTGAAATCGATTCTTCCACAACCATCGACTTTGACTTTACATCCCCGTCTGTGCAATGCGCTAACAAAATTGACCTGTCGCTACAAATTTCACGATGTTTGGTAAAAACCTCCGAAATCGCGTCGCTTTACCTGTGAACTCGCGAAATTATTTCGATACTTGTTCGTAAATATGCCAGCAACTTAAAGTGCAAGCAACTTAAAGTGCAAACTATTACGAGAGAAAAATAGAATAAATAATCGTAAAGCGCATGTATAAAAAGAAGGCAAAAATAGAAGATAAGGTAGAGATTTAAGATATCTTGCCTTTCGACCTTTTCGGGAGATATGCCCAGAGCTGGGCAAAATACATTATAAAAGTATTTGAAATATAAAATACAAAATACTGTCAATCTTAGTATTTGAATTACAAAAAATATAAAATACTTTTAATTTTTTTATTTGAAATACAAAATACAAAATACTTTTAAATCTTTTTTTTGAAATACAAAATACTTCTTTGAAATACAAAATACTTTTTAATTACAATAATATATAAACTTTGCTATATAATAATTAAACAAAAAGCAACAATATTTGTCATTTATCACAAACATTTTAAGCGATTTTGCATTATGTCTTGATTGATCACAGAAAAAACTGAGAGAAACTAAAAAATATTGAAAAAGACGAACTGAAAATTAATCAATCAAATTACACACACAAATCACACATTTTTATTTAAATAAGTGTGATTTCCTTTTAAAAAAATTAATTTTTGAAAACATTTATCTGAAAGTGATCGTCTTGAAGGCGATTGAATAAATCCTGCAAAAGAAAATAGCCTCTCCACAGCTGCAGAAGAACATAAGCTCGTGTTAAATCTTATAAATAATTTTTTCACAGATGGGTAATTGTTTAAAGAAGATAAAGACTTTGATTTATCATTTAAAAATGATACAAACTCTAATTGCTGTTGAGATTGTTGTTTTTCTGTTTTTGGACAAGAAAAAATAAAAAAATCTTTATCTGTATCACTAGTAGGACTAGTAGCCTGTTCAGACATACTAGTTTCCATTGTTTCCATAGAATTAACGCATAAATTTTGAATGCGTCTTCTTTCAGATTCTAAATTTTCTGACAACCATTTTAATTTGAATGATGGATGAAAACATGAAGCAATAATTGCTTCATTCACTTCTGGGGACAATTCAAAAAATTTTGCAAATCGCTTATGCAAAGAAGTTAGTAAATTAGATAGAACAAAACCAGTGTGTTGCAGATTTTGTTCCTGAAGATTTTGCAGTCGTTGTTTTAACGAAAATAATATAGGCAACAACTGACCATAAAAACAATCTGTTTCTTTCTGAAGATAATCCAGCGCTGTTGCTATAGGTTTCATTAAAAGACAAAATTCTTCTAAATACTCCAATTCGATCTCCTTGAAAGCACATAAATTCAAATTTGAATTTAAATCGTTTAACTTTGTTTTATATTTTAGAAGCTGAATTGTTGCGTCATATAAAGAATTCCATCTGGTAGAACAAGGGTAGGTTAAACTGCAACCTAAAGCATCATGAATTATTTCTGAAGTTTTTGGTCGTTGTGATGCATTCCATAATGCAGTGCATTTGCCAAACAATGGATGGTGAATTCTAGATGCTGTAGAATTTTTAAGTGCATTGTGAAAATCAGTTGTTGCTAACAAATTCAAAGTATGACTTGCACATCTTAAATGATGTGGTAACAAAATATTATTGTTATTACTTATCAAGTTCATTGACAAATATGGTGTTGATATTTGATATTTTGCACTATTACTTTCATCAGAAATGATTACGAATTCAATTGTTTCCTCTTCTTCTTCATCACTATTGTCTACAGCGTCTATACTTAAATTATCTGAAATTGGCAAATTCAAAAACGAAAAATTAAAATTTTTCGAAATACTTAAATTATTACCTAATAGTAAATAACTTTAGAATAAGTTTGAAATCAAATTGAAAGAAATTTTGTTATAATTGATAAATTTACCAAGTTTAAATTTATATTTACTATTTTTACAGAAGTCCAAATTTATATTTACTATGTTTACAGAATATTGGATATAAAAAATAAAAATTGCAATGCAGATACCGTGTGTAATTCCAAATTCTGCAAAAGCTTTAACAAAATTAGAACCATTATCGGTTATTGTAGACACTATTTGCTCATGCTTTAAACCATATTCTGAAAAAATATCTAACAACATTTCAGCTATTCGATCATATGAGTGCGTTCCTTTAAATCTGCGACAATCTAAGACACAACTGCAGCGTTTCAGATCTTGAGTTATCTAAAAATTAAATTAATTTTTATGTTGTTAATTTAAAAAAATTTTTTTAGTTAAATTAATTAATTTTTATATTATTAATTTTTTACCCAATGCGCAGTAACGCCTATAAAACTTTTATGCTTAGTTGACCATATGTCGGCAGTTGTAGAAATATAATTAACATTTTGTAAAGTCTGTTTTAAATGTTCCACAGTACGATTATAATCATCATCAATTCTTCTGCCAAGAGTACGTCGTGATGGTATTTCTAAGTCAGAGTTAATATCTGAAAAAACATTAAATAAGTATGTAATAAATATGAAATATAATGTAATTATGTAATGTAATATGTTATCTGTTTCTGTGTCTCCACTTTAGCTCTAAAGGATTAAGAAAAAACTAAGCTGCAAATATTTTTATAAAATTTGGATCATCAACAGTTGATAGTGGTTTCATACTACCAACAATGTATCGAAGAATATTTTCTTCAATTTTTTTCTGCTGTGATATGTTTTGTCTTCTTGGATCAAATAATTTCATTTGTTTTAATTTTGAAGTATCTGTATCGTCTGTATCTGTTTTATGTTTTCTTGTTTCTCTTGGACCCTTTATTTTAGTTTCAATTTTGTATTGATCATATTCCTTTAAAATGGATTTGTGTACACGCTGAAAAAAAAATTTTTATATCTTTATAAAAAAAATCAAAGATTTTTATATATATCTTTATAATATCTAACTACATTACTACATAGAAAATAGTTATTGGTGTTATAAGTTTGTAAAGTGCAACTTTTACGAGTATAGTTATAGAGATTAATCAATCCACTGAATATTTTGACATTTTTAATAAAATCAAAATTAACATGACAAATTTTTAAGTTAAACCATGATAATATACACGTAAAACAAAACGTTAACAACTATCGTTCCTAAAATTACTTTTCTGGCAGGCCAAAAAAAGTGACTTTTTTGACGATTATGCATAACAATAAGTGTAATTTTTTGCCGATCAGAAGAAATTACTTTATAAAAATATGGATACATTTATGAATTATGGTTATAGGCTTATAGGTTATTACGTTTATAGTAAATATATAATTATATTATTTTAAATTAGGTACTTACTTTTAAATGCATTTTGAAATTTGTTGTAGCTCTTAAAGAACCGCTTAAGACAATTTGTTTATTTTGTTTCTTGCAGGTTAAACACATTGCTTTCACCTTGCTACGATCTTGATCTACTTTAATAATTTTGAAATATTTGCCATTTAGAATAGCAGGCAAATTTGTATCACAAACAGTATTCTCTTCTTCGACTTCATCATTTGTTTTACTTTTGGATGTACTTGTAATATCCATTTTAACAGTTGAGAAGAGATAACCAAACCGAGAACCAAGACAAGAAATGACAGTTAATGACGCAAGATCGAACCTAATAATGCAAGCCATGCTTGCAACGTAGTCAGATGTTAGACCCTTCTTCACTCACTTTTCGAACTTTTAGAGAGAAAGAGAAAGAAGTTGTCTTACTCTCTTGCACTCTTTGACTGCGTTCAGGAAACGCGCTATAAGTTACTACTATTGTTGTCAAAGACTTTTTTGGTATTTAAAATACAAAATAGATTAAAATTGTATTTAAAATATAAAATACACTAAATAACCTTTTTGAAATACAAAATACAAAATACTATTATGTGTTTCGCTGAAATACAAAATACAAAATACAATTGTATTTCAAATACTGTATTTCAAATACAAGTATTTCAAATATGCCCAGCCCTGGATATGCCAAATATTTTTTGAGTTAAAAGATTTACATAATTTGTCTTCGTATCACTGAAAATGCACAGAAAATCGTTCATCGCTTGTGGACGATTAATCAGACGATTATTTCATAATAAGCGACTCATATTACTACCTTTTCGGTCACGTTCGCCCCGACATCAACGGAACCACATGCATCGCTGTGCCTTCACAATATTCGCATATTCCACCAGCGCGTCGCATTATAAGCAAGCATTCCCGAAACCCTATGAATTACGCGGGGCGTATAAATATAAAATAACGCGAGATATATATGGCGAGAGCGCCGGCACGACGTTAGGGGCGTAAGTCTGACGTAATGATACATCACCGTAATGAAACTGCTATGCGACAACCCCCTCTCTATCTTTCTCTCTCTCTCTCTCTCTTCTCTCTCTCTCTCTCTCTCTCTCTCTCTCTCTCTCTCTCTCTCTCTCTCTCTCTCCACCATTCGTTAAATCCCCTTGCGCACGTATATGGTGCCGGTCTGGTTCCTCTCTTCAACATCCGCACCCCCTTCACTTCGCTCTCTCTTTGTCGCCATCCGCGAATGCCATTGCGAGCGTTCACGTTCGTGCCACGTCTTATAAATCATGGTTTACCTTTGTTCCTGGGAGCGGTGCCTCGAGGAACACGCGGACCAATCAGATTCGCTCGATGCCCGGATGCTCGGTGGAAATCCTATTCGGCGGAATCACACACGGCTCCACGTGATCTCGACATTATCGACGATGATCGAATAGTAAACGGAGTGACACAAGATCCCGAATTGTCTTCCGAAGCGACGGCGTGTGTCGTCTATCGCGACGGTGGGTAAATTCAGTGAAATAGAATGTGGCAAGAGCGGCGAATGAGGATTAAGGGATCGATTGACGTTATTATGTGCCAAAAAGAATCGCCGAGATTGCTCCAAGTGGAAAGACAAACACGTTAGATGTTTGCCATTACAGTATCACTGTCATTTCAATTGATTTCAAATAGACTTTAATTAAATCAAGTTAAATTAATTTAATTATGACAATTTACGGATAAAAATAATTAATATTGGGATTAAAAGCGCCATTAAAGGTTTGGAGATAAAAACATCGTGAAATTTGTAGCCGAAACAATAGCTGATTTCTCAGACACATTCTGTCTTTCATACTTTGTACGGAAATTACGGCAGCTGATTCATGACGTTCCGCAGACTACCCACATCAGGAGGAGAGTTTTCCCTCAACCAATATCGCGACAAAGTCCACGAACAACCAGTTATCAGTCCGGACCACTTATGATGAAAGTTAGCGAAGACGATGCTGCCGAAACCAGGGGTGATGCGAGCTTAGATCATCGCTGCCATAATGGGACCTCGGTGCGTCGTTAAAACATGACACGGGAAAGTCATCCTTGCAGTTGCATATCGACAAGCACATCTCTGTCTACATATCGACAAGTACTACATACCTTCACGAGAACGAGTAGATCTTTTACCGTAAATTCCAGCGCTCTATGTATGCTAAAATATTTCTTCGCGGACGACTAGAAGCTAATTGCTTGAATTTTTGAAAAATTCTCTGAAAAAATCCGCGATGGATTTCAATTGTTATATCTTTGATCTCTTTTTCTTCCACTTACATATAGCGTTGCAACAAAGCCGCGATGCTAGATTCTATTTATTAACATTATTTTTATCGTCTCTATAAATATCGCCTTAATAAACTTTCCGCGGAATTCAAATTAGCATTTCGTAACTCAACATTATTAAATTTCGCGAGCAGCACGCTTGAAAATGAGCGCAGTGTAAAACCAACAAGAACTAGTTTCTTAACTTTACGATGACAATTCCGAACAAATGCAGAGAAGTCATAAGAGACGAACGGGAAAGGGAGAATAAAACGCGGACGCGTGATGGAGAAGGGAGAAAATCGAGGGGGAGCGGCAGCGGAGCGCGAGAAGGGAGACCCTGGGGGCTAGATTCATGCATATGCCACAATCTCATTTGACTACATAATCGTATTCCGGCCCGACGGGATCATTCGTGTCAACAAGTTACATATTTTTTCTATTCCACGTCTCCCTTTTTGCGCAACCGACCGCGCCGTTTCTCATCCTATTGTCGCGATTTTGTCGCCACTAATTCGCGACGATTGTTTGATCCCCTATCTCGCCCCCAGCCTCCGGCGCGCTGAGATGCATGAAACACAAGCCCGGTGGTGGGTCGTTCCGCAATAATCCTTCCACGGACTCTGGAGCGGGGCAAAAGTTTGCGAAGTTTTCAGGCGGGGGTGGTGCGCGCGGGTGAACGACCGACGCGATGAAATTCTTAATATGGAGAGAAAATGGAGGACAAATGCGCAGGTGCGCTAATGGTCCATTCGTACTGTTTCATTTGGATCCTTAATTGGCGAACGAGTTTTTTGAACCGCGCGCGCGTTATGAAACGCATTTATTTATATAATTCAAATAAGTTACTTAAGTTAATTAGTACCTACTTTAATTAGAGATTAAATTAATTAAGTTGATCTGAGTGTGTGTATACACGTATATGATATCACGATAGAAAATCAGAGACGAGTAATAAGATAAACTCCGCACATTGATAAGACGAAGAAGATACCGATTCTACAAGCTACATATTTAAAAAAAAACTTTTCTTCAAGAATTTTAGAAGAATGTTTAAAAGAAAAAAAAAAGTATTTTTCTTTAATCCAGATAAAGTATGAAGAAAAAGAGGCGATGGATACGTTAATTAATCACGCGCCAAGTACAAACTATCACAGCAGTTAAAGCTAAATTGAAGTTTGTAAATTCTTCAAGCATCTAAACAACAATGTGCAAACAACACTTAGTTGAATAATCAGAGTCTTGTACAGGACGTAAAAGAAACATGCGGAAAAAATAAAAATACAATTTTGTACGCTTAATCGTAAAGAAAGACGCGCATGAGAAAAATTCATGATTTTCTCGTCGGCAAGAGTCGGCGCATCGCAATTTTGGAGTCGGTGTCGGTATTTTGGAGCGAATCTGTATCCTTTATTACGGCGTTTCTCTCTCAGTGCAATACGACGGCACTCGCTCGTATATGGCGGGGGCTGTGAGGTCAAAACCGACCGACTCCGGATATACAGCGCGGTGCCAAAGGAGGTAGGAGACTCTTGAATAATATACACGGGCCAGCCGACAGCCCGTGCTCGAAGCTTCGAAGTCTCGTCTAACCCAGATACGGAAACAGATCCAGAAACGAGGTCATTCCCGCTCCGGATACACTTTGATTTCGTTATTTCGGATGCTCGTCCTTCACCACGTTTATTCTCCTTTCGGGTTTGTTCGGGTTGAATCGATTTCGCGCCTTCTTCCTTTGACACGGCGAAAGAAAGTTATTTCGCATCTTTCATCTCCTTTCTCGTGCGAATATCTTTAAAAGTTAATCAGATATCGTCGTTCTTTCTTGAAAGATTTCTTGACTCTTTGCTCTAGATTAGAAACAATTGGTGACAATAGGCAAGTAGAGAAACTATAAAAAAATTATTACAAGAGTGTAATTTACCGTTTTAACCGTACAATTATATTGTTAAATATTTGATGTAAATAACTCAAACGGAAAGACTTCATTACTTAAAATATTATTACATCGTCGCTTGGTATCATCCGAGGGATTCCAATACATAAGCAGTTTACACCGGAGGATTGCTGGTTCAGATTCCATTTGTTCCGGCTGTCACCCCATGACGCATGTCCCATCCATCCACCAAGCTCGCCCTTCCCTTTCCGTAACGTATTACAACCCTTTATATATTACTCTGTCGCAGCCGCGTATCTTCCATGTCTACGAGTAGTCGCGATGCGCGATCGGTTAGATATACATATATGTACATTTCTGATGAAAATATCCGGCAACATTTATATCTTATCACAGACATTTCCACATTTATGCATCATTGTACTCTCCGTATGCATACATGAATAATAATTCAACACTCTTTTAATTAATTCTTCTCTCTAAATTTCAACTTTTCACCAGTATAGCACGGTTCTCTTCGTTCCTTAGACATTGAAAATTTTACATGCAGAGTATAAAAGTCGTCAAATAAAATATGTAGTATTTGATTAGAGAGTCGTATAAATTCGATTAAGAATTTTTTGTCCAAAAATTATATGTCGAAGAGATAAAAATTTCTCGAGCTGAAAGACTCAAATAGCATTCCACAAATCTGACACACTTTCGGAAATGCTGCATATTAATGGCCACGAAAGACTATATATTTCGATCAATTTACAAGCTCCTGTCAAGGATAGACAGTGTAAATAACTTTTCGACAAGTTCCAGAGTAAGCACTGTGACGTCATGAAATTTTGAAGATACTCGATTGGTGCGCGGCTAGGTATATGACCCGAACATCGCTCGTAACATAAACAAGGCTCGTATTCCTCTCCCCAGGGTTCTACGGCAGGAAACGAAGGAGGGATTTCATAATGAATTTACTGCTTGAATACGCTCGGTAAATACAATTACTTAACCTCGCCATTTTGATGTAGTCCGAAACATAAATCGGTATTATTAGACACAGCTTATCGATCTTATTCAACTGACCTTAATAATAAAAACAATAACCATCTTGAGCTATTGTTGTAAATACGCGAAAATATCCGGCGGAATTCAGAGCGCGTGCCGAATACGCATCAATTTTCACTTGTATAAATAACGAATGAACGCACAACAATATATTTCGCCGTTCATAGGGAAGATTCGAAAACCAAATCTGTACAAAGCACCGCGGTCGATATACAGCCGCGATAGTTCATCGTCCTTATGGAGTTAAGGTCGTCCGAGCAAAAGCAGCAGGGCGAAAAGG